CATAGTGCCTGAGGCATTTGATTGCTAACTAGAAGGCTGGCAGTTCAAACCCGCCAGCCACTCCTCAGAAGGAAGGTTGGGCAATCTACTTCCATGGTGATACTGCCTCAGAAACCCAAGGAGGGGTCACTATGAGTCGGGTCCAACTTGATGGCACATACACAACAATTGAATTGGAAAAAATATTCAATGTACTCTAAAGATTTCTCTTTCATGTTCTTTTATTCTTAGTCATTATAAGTTGTTTCTTTGGAGAGTTACATAAACAGGCCTCCCTCAAAGAATTGCACAGGTGGCCTTAGCAGAGGAGTTCTTTGCCTATTATAGGAAACAATAATTTCAGAATTTAAAAAAAAAATCCTGTGGATGCAATGTGCCAAGGATCTAAGCATCAGAAAGGAAGGGGGAGCCATAAGAGAATTGAGAAAGGTGAAAAAGTGACAATTTGAAAATTGCCTAAATTATTTGAAAAAATATTGCTTAATAAATTTTAGAAGAGCCAGAAAATTATTACCCCCCAAAAAAAAATGAAATTGAAAGAGGCAAAGAAACTTAAGAAGCAAGAGTTGTTTGTTTATTACCAGTAACAATTATTTTAATAAGTAAAAGTCAATAAATTCCTGCCTTCCTACCTTGTCAACAATGAATAACTCATTAAACTACTTGTAGAAAGAATATAGATCATTTGATTACATTGCACTTCATTGACTTGAGCCTTTTAAAGAGTCTGATTTTTTAAGGTGTTGAAAATGAATAATATGTTCTAATTTAAATTTGAATAAATGTTTAAACATTTATACTACTCCTACCACCACATATGCACAGATAGAGTGTTAGTAATTCACTCCCTGAGGAAAATAATACAGTATTGGAAGCCTCTGGGATCTAGAAAAGAGTACTTTCCAAAGAACAAATTTGATACAAACACATTGTGCCTGATCTAATTCCTCTGAAGAGATAAGAATGGAAGAAAGATTTCAAAGAAAATAGAATCAAGACCTTCTTTGTACACATCTATTTGATTGTTAAATGCACTATATTTAGAAATTCTGCTAACAGCTGTATAGATATATTCAAAACTAATACCTTTCTAAAACTCAGAATTGTTTATCCAAGCTTGTATCCAGGAATTACAACATCAGTACAAACAGAAGAAAGCTGGCTTCAGTATTTGTCTGATCGAAAGCAGCAGGAAGGTGAGTAGTTGGAGTAGAGTGGTTTGAACAGAATAAGTAGCTTTTGCTGGAAGTTGGGATTGCATACTGCAAGGAGCATGGATATAGAAGGCCATGAGAGTTATATCTGAATCCAAACTCTAACACAAATTAAGATGGACAAGTTATTTAACCTCACTGAGTCATATTGTTTCTTCTTCTGATGGTAATAATACTTCCATCATAGGATTGTTAGAAAGATCAGAATGAGACTAAATATTTAAACTCTCTGGCAGTTAGTATTTAATAAATGGCAGTACTTCTGTTCACAGCAAGAAATAACCTAAAAATTTTAATTAAATAATTTTTAAAAAGTAAAAAATAATCTGCATTTTTGACACAAACCTGTCTTTTTTATTATTGAAGTAACATGTGTACAATGTTTTTAAAAAGTCAAATCATTAAGAAATATATCATGTAATAATTAAAATGGAAACATCCCAATATAATTCTCAGAGGTAATCATTATGAATAGCTTTTCTTTCCAGACTTTTATATTTAAATTTTATGTTATGTCACTTATCATTAAATACTTACTGAGTCCCTACCATATGCAGAGCACCTGTCATAGGCCAAGCTCTGTTCTAGGGAAACAACAGTGAACAAAACAGACAAAATCTATCTCAATGATCTTATATTAATGTATCAGGAGAAGGGAGGAGTGAGATAAATAACAATACAAAATAAATTTGTAAATACACAATAATGTTAGATGATGTAGGTGCCAGAAATTTATCGTCTCAAGTTCTGGAGACTAGTAGTCCAAATTCAGTGTCCACAGAGCTGTCCTCTCCAAAGTCCCAAGGGGAGATCTTTTCTTATCTCCCTCAGTCTCTGGTAGCCCAGGAAGTCCTTAGCATATAGGTTCATCTTCATGCAGCTGTCTTTTCTCTGTCTCTCTGTCTCTTTTATAGTCATTCATACTGGGTAAGGACCCACCGTACTCCAGTATGACCTCATGTTAACTTAACTGATAATATCTTCAAAGACACTATTTCTAAACAAGGTTAAGTACACAGGTACAGGGGTTAGGATTTTTACTTACCTTTTTAGAGGAGACAATTCAATTCATAACAGAAGAGAATAAGGAGTGTTAGCGTGGAAGGGCTAATAGTTTGCACAGGTGCTCAGGGAAAGCTTCATTGAGAAGCTGAGATATTTGATCAAAGAGCTGAAGAAGAGGAGAGAGTAAGCCCTGAGACTCTCTCTGGGTACAATGTTCTAGGCAGAGGGAACAGTAGTCCCTCCCTCTAGAACATGAAGGATGCCAATGTGGCTCCAGTAGAGTAAGCAAGGAGGAGAATCCGATGAGATGAGGTTGGAGAAATAACGAGGACTGGATGTTTTTCACTGTGAGTGAAGTGGGAAGTTACTTGAGGGTGAGCAGAGGAATGACACAGTCTAACTCATATTTTAATGGCTGCTGATCTGCTGTGCTAAGATTATGAGGGGATCAGGGTGGAGCAAGGATTGAGCCCTGGGTCACTCCATTGTTAAGTAGTTGGGGAGATGAAGAGGCTACAATAAAGGAGACTAAGAAAAAACAGCCAATAAGATAGAAGAAAAACAAGTTGTAGATGCCAAGGAAAAAAGTGTCCTAAGCAGAAGAGAATGATCAGCTAGATCAAATGCTACTTAGTGGTCAAGGAAGATAAGGACAAAGAATTGACTACCAAATCTAGTATGGTGACTATGATAGGGCCAGTTTCAGTATAATTGTGTGGATGAAAATCTGATTGGAATGGATTCAAGGGCTAGTGGTAGAAGGGAAATTGAAGTTACTAAGTGTAGGATAAAAATGGGACTCATACCCCACACTCCCATTTTATTGCTAAATTTTTAACACTACAACTTTTGTTGTTATGTGCTCGAGTCAGACCAGACTCATAATGACCCCTCCTTGGGTTTCTGAGGCAGTATCACTATGGAAGTAGATTGCCCAACCTTCCTTCTGAAGAGTGGCTGGTACAACTAATACATAAAAAATAATATTTTTTAAAAATCAAATAAAACAAGTTTCATATGATGATTACCTGTAATTTCAGAGAACACCACTATTATCACATTGCTCTATATCTTCCCAAATCTTTTTCTAAGCTTTTACATCCATATGTGGAAATATAGACAGTAGTTTGGCACTTTTTGTTTGTTGTTATTTACATAAATGGTTACCACACTGAATATGTTGTTATACCTGCTTTTTCACTTAATATGTCTTAGAAATGTTTCCAGGTCAGGAAATAACAAATCTTCATCATTCTTTTTAATTCTTGTATAAATAGTACATAAGGAGCTCTGGTGGCGTAGTGCCTAAGGCACTTGACTGGTAAGCAGAAGGCTGGCAGTTCTAACCCACCAGCCACTCCTTCGAAGGAAGATGGGGCAATCTACTTCTGTAGAGATACCGCCTCAGAAACCCAAGGAGGGGTCACTATGAGTCGGATCCGACTCAATGGCAGTGAGTTTGGTTGGTTGGTTTGTTTTTTTGATAAACAGTATATGGTATAGACAAGCAGTTGTTTATTTCAAGATTCCCCAATTGAAATGTTATAAAGTTGTTCCTAGATTTTCACTTCCTCAGTGTTATAGTAAACCTCCTCCTCTTTGTATATATATCCAAGTATTTCCCTAAAGCAGATGCCGAGAAGTGGTATTACTGGGTGAAAACCTACTCAAGAAACCAAACTCACCACTATCAAATTGATTCTGACTCATAGTGACCCTAGAGGACAGAGTAGAACTGCCCCATTGGGTTTCCAAGGCTATAAATCTTTACAGAAGCACACTGCCTCATCTTTCTCCAACAGAGCACCTGGTGGGTTCAAACTCCAAACCTTTTGGTTAGCAGCAAGATACATTAACCATTGTGCCACCAGATCTCCTGGGTGAACAAATAGGCATATTAATCATGGCCTTCATAAAGAGCTGACCCAATGTATAAAACCAAACTCACTATCATTGAGTTGATTCCTACTAATAGCAACTCTCATTGGGTTTCCAAGGCTGTAAATCTTTATGGTAGCAGACCACCTTATCTTTCTTCTGCAGAGGTGCTGATGGGTTCAAACTATTGACATTTTGGTTAGCAGCCAAATGCCTTAACCACTACACCACCAGAGCTCCTTTGACCCAAGGTATACTTCCACCAAAAGAGTTGAGAGATCACTTGTTTTCCTACCCTTCCAAATATTTTATATTGTCCCTCTTTTAAATTTATACCAGGGTAATATGTGCAAATTATACTGTATCTTATTATTATTTTGTTTTGTTTTCCTTGATTAGTAGTGAAGTTAAAACTCTTGTTACCAGAATATATTTTCAGCCATTTGAATATCTTCTTCGAATTCAACAAATAAACAAATGTTTATATCTTTTGTTCATTTTTCAATTGGTCATCTTTTTAATATTTTCTTAGCACTTTACATATATGGTAATACTTTGAATAATGTGTTGCAAATTTTTTCTTTTGTCTTTTACCTTTGTGGTGTGCTCTGTCATACGTAATTTTAAATTTTTATGTAAATAAATCATTTCCTTTGTGAGTTTTATATTTTGTGATTTATTTTAGAGGTCATTCCCTAACTGAGAGGAGCTGTGGTGGCACTGTGGTGAAAGCTTTAGGCTGCTAACCAAAAGGTTAGCAGTTCAAACCGACAAGCTGCTCCGTAAGAAAAAGATGAGACAGTCTGCATCTGTACAGGTTTACAGCCTTAGAAACCCTTTGAGGCAGTTCTACTCTGTCCTATAGGGTTGCTATGAGTCAGACTGGACTCAATGTAGTGGGGAAGGTGGGTTGCTAACTAAAGATTATAAACGTATTTTCCTATATTTTTTTCTAACACTTATATGATTTTATTTTTTACATTTAGCTCCTCAATTAATATGCAGTTCATTTTTGTGAATGACTTGAGAAAATATCAGTATTTTCTTTTTTTCTAATTCTTTCTCCAGTAATAATTAATAGTCCAATCCTTCCTCTGTGCTTTGAAATATCTTTAAACCAAACCAAACTCACTGCCATCGAGTTGATTATAACTCATAGTGACTCCCATTGGGTTTCCAAGACAGTAAATCCTTACAGAAGTAGATTGCCCAGTCTTCCTTCCATGGAGTGGCTGATGGGTTTGAACCACCAAGCAAGCTTCTGGTGAGCAGTCAAATGCCTTAGGCACTATACCATACCACCAGAGCTCTTTTGAAATATCTTTTGTTGTTGTTGTTATGTGCCATCGAGTCAGACCCGACTCATAATGACCCCTCCTTGGGTTTCTGAGGCAGTATCACTATGGAAGTAGATTGCCCCATCTTCCTTCTGAGGAGTGGCTGGTGGGTTTGAATCACCAGCCTTCTGGTTAGCAGTCAAGTGCCTTGGGACCAGACTCATAATGACCCCTCCTTGGGTTTCTGAGGCAGTATCACTATGGAAGTAGATTGCCCAACCTTCCTTCCGAGGAGTGGCTGGTGGGTTTGAACCTCCAGCCGTCTGGTTAGCAGGCAAGTGCCTTAGCCACTATGCTACCAGAGCTCCTGTGTATATATATAAATATTCTGTTCCCATGAACTCTTTGTATTTGCCTACACCAATACTACATTGTTTTATTTTTTTTAGTTTTATAATGTATTTACTATCTGATAAAGCAGATACTCTTTCAGAGTCCATGGGTAGTACAAACAGTTAATGCTCTCAGATGCTAACCAAAGGATTAGAAGTTTGAGTCAACCCTGGGGCACCTTAGAAGAAAGGTCTGATCAATGCAGAAATGGCATTTTATAAAATCTAACACCCATTCCTGATAAAAACTCTCAGAAAAATATAAATAGAAGGAAAATTCCTCAACATAATAAAGGGCTGTGGTGTAGTTAAAAGTACATAGTGTGGCTTTTCTAGCCATAATTCTTTGTAATTTGTAATGCTGAAATTTGCCATGAGCAACTGAGTAGCCCTGATTGTTAAAGTAATCCACCGGGGGTATTTATTTTGGGAGCAGCACAAAGTAATTTTCTGGGAAGTTCACTGTCTCTCAGGTGTATAGAATTCTGATGTTGGGATTGGTTGGTTTGGCCACTCTGCCAGGCTCAAAATGAGCCCTCCTAGAGGCAGAAGGAATCTTTCACTGCTGACTGAGAGATGTAAGAGACACACATTGCTGAGAGAGAGATGTGAGAGACAGGCACTGCTGGGAGAGAGATACCAAGAGACACTCACTGCTGGCAGAGAGACTGTAGGCTGAGAGACAATGGATTGAAAGAGACTGAGCATGTTCCTGAACTTGAATTGTAGCCTGTTGCTTCCCTAATAAATCTCATAATCTGTGAGTTCTGTATGGCCACTGCAACGAATTATCGAACCCAGCAGAAAGGTGGTGGGTGGGTGCTGTGAGAGGAACGGTTGGTGTCACGGTTGGTGAAAGGGCTGGAAGGAGGTGGCATGTCCGGCCTTGCAGGGATAGGCCTTGGGCTACTGATGGTGATTCTGTTTTCCTCTTGTGGGGTTAGAGGAAGTCAGAAGATGTGGCCTTCCTGCCACTTTGGCAAGGACATATATGCAAAACCAACAACAAACATTATTCTCGATGGAGAGAGACTGAAACCATTCCCCTTGCAAACAGGAAGCAGACAAGGATGCCCTCTATCACCACTTCTATTAACATTGTATTGGAAGCCCTAGCCAGGGCAATAAAGCAAAAAAGAGAAATCAAAGGTATCCAAATTGGTAAGGAAGAAGTAAAACTTCCTATTTGCTGATGATAAGATCCTATACATAGAAAAGCCAAGAGACTCGGCAAAAAACAAAACAAAACAAAAAAACCAACTAGAACTAATTGAGAGATTTAGCATAATGGCAGCATACAAGATCAACATCCAAAAGTCAGTTGGATTCCTCTACACCAACAAAGAGATTGCTGAAAGGAGATAAGGAAATCAATACTATTTACAATAACTACCAAAAAATAAAATACAATACTTAAGAATAAATCTCACTAGGGACACAAAAGACTCATACAAAGAAAACTGCAGAACACTACTTCCAGAAACCATAAAAGATTTAAAATGTATTGACCCATGTCACTTTAGTTTTGTGTATTTCACTGTACATAAATTATATTTCAATAAAATGTATTTAAAAAAAAAAAGAAGAAGAAAGAAACCTTAAGAGATCTACATAAATGGAAGAGCATACCATGCTTGTGGATAGGAAGATTGAACATTGTGAAAATGTCAGTACTGCCTAAAGCAATCTGTACATTCAATGCAGTCCCAATCCAGATCCTATCAACAGTTCTTTAATGATGTGGAAGGACCAATCACTAATTTTATATGGAAAAGAAAGAGACCTATTGAAGAAGAACAACAAAGTAGGAGGTCTCACACTCCCAGATCTCAAAACCTGCTATACAGTCACAGTAGTCAAAACAGCCGGTATTGGTACAATGACAGAATATAGACCAGCGGAACAGAATTGAGAACCCAGAAGTAGATCCATTGACTATGATCAGCTGATTTTTGACAAAAGGGCTGAAACCCATTATATGGGGGAGGAGATGGTCTCTATAACAAATGGTGCTGGAAAAACTGGATATCCATTTGCAGAAGAGTGAAAAAAGATCCATACCTCACACCATACACAAAAACTAACTCCAGATGGATCACAGACTTAAATGTGAAACCTAAAACTATAAAGTTCCTCAAGGAGGATATGAAGAGATTGGGACTCTCATACACTGCTGGTGGGACTGTAAAATGCTACAGCCACTGTGGAAAGCAGTATGGCAATTCCTTAAAAAGCTGGAATTTGAAATACCATTTGACCCAGTCATTCTATTACTAGGTATATATCCAAAAGAAGTGAGAGCCAGGACAAGAACAAATACATGCACACCTATGTTCATTGCAGCACTATTTACACTAGCAAAGATATGAAAGCAACCCCAAGGCCCATCAACTGAAGAATGGATAACCAAACATGGTACGTACACACAATGGAATGCTAGGCAATTCTAAAGAATAATGTAGAATTTGCAAAACACTGCATAACATGGATGAACTTGGAGGACATTATGCTGAGTGAAATAAGTCAATCACAGAAGGACAAATATTGTATTAGTTCATTATTGTAAAAAGTCAAGGCAAGGTTTATATATGGAAGGAAACTTTCTTTGTTGTTTACCAGAGGTGGGAGTGGAGGGGAGGGAACACTGAAAAAAATTTTTTTAAAAAAGAAGCGCATGATAATCTACTTCCAAAAAATTAGCAATTTACATCTCAGCAGCCTTTGCCTCAGTCTCATTGTAAGTTGCTCTGATTGGCTTTTCATCATTTCAATCTTAAGTGCTTTTGATCTTCTAGACGTTAATTCAGAGTTTCTGGGATGTGGATGGTCTTCTTCCCCATCTCCAGTGCTTCTCTGGAATCTGCAGAGGGTAGAAGAGTAATCCTGGTGGTTTAATTCTCTGCCTGAGCTGGAACCTTCCTAAACCAATTATCCTCCTACCTGAGAAATCTTACATAGAATAACAGACATAACATAGACATGAATACTTAAGCAGAAAACATATGAGTATGTACACCATGATTATAGTCAAGTAAAATATGCATCCATGTACTATTTTAAGACTATAAAGGAACAGGGAAACATTTTTAAATGTGATATATTACAGTGATGAGTTTGCTCTATTTGTTTGTTATTGGTAATGTCATTTGGAAAAGACCAAAAGTTGAAAGATAAAATAAACACACTTAACAGGGGTACTTATTTTTCTAAGAGATTACTTTCTTTTATACTAAACATCTTTTCTGTTTTGTGCAGAGTAGTGACAAATGTTTACTCTTTTTACAGAGAAGAAAACACGCCCACTGTTGAAGAAGAAAGCTGAACCTAAAAGCCTGGCTTCTGAGTTAAGAAGTAAATAGCTGTTTGGAGTCATATCCTTTTGGTGGCAAAGGCATACAACTATTGGAGAACCAACCCTTATCTTTAACAATGTCCACATCCTTTAGAAAAACACTCCCCCCAAACATGTATGCAAGAAGGTGTTGAAAATGATCATTTCACTTATATTAACAACGAAACTGACTCATACCGGTACTACAGACTAAAATGAAGGGTTTCAGGACATTTCAACAGTGTGTGTGATGGCAAAAAAAAAAAAAAAAAAAAACCTCATCGCCCTTGAGTCAGATCCGACTCAAAGCGACCCCTCCTTGGGTTTCTGAGGCGGTATCACTATGGCAGTAGATTGGCCAATCTTCCTTCCTAGTGTTTGGTGGGGAGGAGGATTAATGGGACTCTCCAAACCAGAGAAAATGGAATGTATTAAAGGTGTTAAACTTTCCTTCTAAATCTATCCTTTCTCTTCAGAAAAGTGGGTAATTAATCCAGAAGAGCCAAAATTAAAGATTTTATACGAGCTGGAGGTAAGAAATATTTACCAGATTAATTTGTACACTGTTTTCAAGATTCAAAAAAAAAAAAGCTTATTTAATCTTCAATTTTTCTTTTTCTTTCCTTTTTTTTGAATAGTTTAAGGATGACTTCATGAAATTGTTTGCGCCTTCTCTGAAAACATTACCCAGCATTGGGCCACCATCCATTCTCACATACAAACCAGAGATTACTAATTTAAACATTACATTCAAGGTGATTTTAATTCATATTCTTTAGTAGTAGTAGTAGTAGTAGTAGTAGTAGTAGTAGTAGTAGTAGTATAACAAGTTATATAAAATGTCACATGATAATTTGTACAATAAATAATGAACATACTTGTCTTAGTTATCTTTTGCTACTATAATAGAAATACTATAAATCAGTGACTTAAACAGAAATTTGTTTCCTCACGGTTTAGGAAGTTACAAGTCTGAATTCAGGGTGCCAGCTCTAAGGAAAGGCTTTCTCTCCTCTGTGGGCTCTAGAGGAAGGTCCTTGTCTCTTTGAGCTTCTGCTTCTGGGTGATCGTCACGTGGTTTGGCATCTCTCTTCCCCCACCTCTGCTTCTTCACTTGCTTATCTCTTTTACATCTCAGAAGAGATTGACTTAAGACACACAGTACACAAATATGGTCTAATTAACATAACAAAGAAAGCTCATTTCCAAATGGGATTCTAATGACAGGTCTCTAAAAACCCACTGCCTTCAAGTCAATTCCAACTCTGATTCTATAGTACAGCAGATTTCCAAGGTTTCCAAGGCTGTGAATCTTTACAGAAGCAGACGGCCTCATCTTTCTCTCTTGGAGCAGCTGGTGGGTTCGAACTACCAAGTTTTGGTTACAGCTTAGTGCTTAACCACTTCACCACCTGGGCTCCTTACCACAGGTATAGGGGTTAAGATTTACAACACTTAATTTTGGGGGGACACAATTCAATCCGTAACAATACCTTTTAAAAAAGAGTTCATATGATTGGAGTAGCCTTTAGGCAGGGTGGCCATAAAGCCTGGGAGCCTAGATGAAAACTGCCATATTTGATCATGTTCAGTGACCAGTTAGTGCCTGCACTTGACAGGCCAGGGAAGGGTCACCTCAGTGATTCCAACAGGTAGTGCCCCATCCCACTATATCAGAATGGTGAGGGAGTAATAGAGGAAGATAATTTCCAAGTCTGGATTGGACAGTGAGGCCAGGTAGAGCTGTGGGCTCACTAGATCTGAACCCCCTTGATTACTACTTCTGGAGTCTGCTAACGGTACAGTTTTATTCATTAAAAGTAAGAGACACCATCATCCAAGGCAGCACATCAAGATGCATGAACTGAGCTTGCTGAAAATGCTGTGCATTTGTGGCCATTTTGCACAGACGTTGAACTATGTAGTACTAATCAGGGGCAGCACATTGAATGTGTCATGTAATGTAATGTCAATAAACATTTATGATTTATATTTGGCCAGGTTTCTAGGCTTTCTGGTCCTCTTATAGCCTCATCTGGCTGAAATTTTATTCAACCATAGTACCTTCCTTTTCTGGACCACAAAGGCTTATATCCAGAGAAGTTTCTTCAGCTTGGATTATGGTTTCCTTGCCAGATACGAGCCAGAACAGGCAGAAGGCCTCCAGACATTTGTTCTTGCACTTGTACCTACACAGAGTTGGCTCTTCCTGCTACTGGGTAGAACTTTCAGGCCCTCTAGACCAAGCATTGATAGCAACCAAGTTCAAGATCAGCAGCAGCTAGCTTGCCCAGTACTTGTCTCCAGCCACATCTCCTGATACAGATTCCAAGCCCACATGTGGTTCTTTGAAGTATGTCTACCCTGCTTTACCTTAGCCCTTAATAGGGACAAGGATCATAAGCTGAGTTCACTACGAAATCTCTTGTATGAAACAGACTGTAGATGACCTGGTGTTGCCAACCTGTCTCTCTACCTGCTCTATCATTTGTTAACTATCCTAGGTTTTTCACCACCATTTCCTATTATAAGGCTTTTGATGATGTACAGTACTTTCTATTGGGTAGTTTCAATGGTCTAAAGATAATGGGTGTTTCTCTGAGGTGGGAAATCCTTCACTGCACTAGCTACCTCAGTCACCATGTAGGTGGCCATTTTGCCAGTCCCAGAGGATGGTTTTCATGGCAAATATATGAAATTCCCTGATGATGTTCGTGATCTGCAAGGACTTCACTCTTTTCCTGGAGGCCTATGCTGAGTCTTGGCTGCTCACCTGCCCAAGAACCTCTGCAGTCACAGACATGACCTCATGTCACTGATGTGGCCACAGTGCATCAGCCCTTCATGAAGTCACCTGAGCTCCTGCCTGTCTGATCTCTTTGCTTCTACAGCCTCCCTCTCCTGAATAACTTCCACAGTACAAACAGGAAAATTCAGAGCCCCACTGTACGTCACCCCTTGAAATATGACTCTGATTTATTTTAAAGCTGATAACTGTAAATTCTGGCCTACACAGTAATGTTAAGATTTTCTTTCTTTCCTTATACTTCCTGAAAGAGTTTGTGGTATTCAGTCCATTTGCATAAAATCAGGTGTGTATTATCCCTAGTCTTTCTCATCTAGTTACACACTATAAGCCACCCCCCAGAGACACACCCTGTTGTTGTTGTTGTTGTTGTTTTGTGCCGTCGAGTCGGCCCCTACTCATAGCGACCCCTCCTTGGGTTTCCGAGGCAGTATCACTACAGAAGTAGGATTGCCCAACCTTCCTTCCGAGGAGTGGCTGGTGGGTTTGAACCGCCAGCCTTCTGGTTAGCAGTCAAGTGCTTTAGCCACTATGCTACCAGAGCTCCTGAGACACACCCTAGGGGCTCTAATGTCAACAGAAAAGTGATTTCTGTAACTTTCTTAATATCTTGGGGAGGCATCCCTAGGTCCACCCAGCTCCTAATAGGCTCAGTTCTAGTTTAGTTGAGCTGCACCAGAAAGAGGTTCTCAAAATGACACCTCCGTCCCCTCAGTCCTCACCAACCTATGAGTAGAAGTGATATCACATTAATCTCACTGGTGCCTTCTGGTACAGGTCTTAGCCTCTGAAAGTCCCCCAACATGTAGTTCTGGGAGTCTCTAGGGTGGCTGACAGGATTTCTCATATTTGCAATCCCCCAATATTGAACATTCACTGCCCTTGCCCAGAGCCATGTTTTCTGCTGCTTCCAGAGCCTCTGGGCCTCCTTATCAGCACTTCTCCATTTTTTCTCTGCTTTGAAGGATGAAGAGGAGGAGCTATTGCCTAAGTGTGAATATTGTGGGAATGATCTACGAACATTTCTTTCCAGTATGGATTTTTACCCTGAGCCAATAAAACGTGTAAGTTCTAAAACAGGTTATTGAGGAAATGATCTTTTAAACATCTGCACATACATATCACATCATATTTTCTCCTGTATTGCTGCCATTGAGTTACGTGTCAGCCACCAGGGAATGTAAACCAAAACCGCAATGCAATGCCATACCATATCACTAGGATAGCCTTAACCAAAAAGACAGACAATAGCAAGTATTGGCTAGGATGTAGAAAAATTGGACCTTCATATACTGCTGAGGGTAATATAAAATGATGCAGCCATTTTGTAAAACTGTGAAAGTTCCTCAAAACTTAATATAGAATGCCACTCCTATGTATATACCCAAGAAAATTGAAAACATATGTCCATGTACCAACTCATACCATGAGTGTTCACATTAGCCAAAAAGTGGAAACAACCCAAGTGTCCCTCAGCTGACAAATGGATAAACAAAATACAGTATACCCATACATTAGAATGTTATCTGGCTATAAAAATAAATTAAGTAATATTATATGGTACAACATGGAGAAACCTTAAAAACATTATTCTAAGAAGCCAGCCACAAAGACTATGTGTTATATAATTCCATTTATATGAAATGTCCAAAATAGGCAAACCCATAGAAACAGAAGGTAGATTAGTGATTGCCAGGGATTAGAAAGAGGGGGCAATGGGGCATCACTGCTTAAGTATATAGGGTTTCATTTCGAGGTAATGAAAGTATTCTAAAATTGATCATGGTGATGGTTGTACAACTCTGAATATACTAAAAGACATTGAATTGTATCCTTTAAATGGGTGAATTGTATAGTATGTGAATTACCTCAATAAAGCTGTTACTGAAAAAGAAAAACTCTGATAGATTGTTAACCAATTAACCATTAGGCAACTTTTTTTTTCTCTTTCTCCTCTAATCATCTTCACCTAGGACTTAAAAAAAAAAAAAAGCTTTTGTTTTTTTTTGTTTTTCAGGACTCCTGTTGTATTCATTTCCAAAATCTAGTTGAATATATCTATGTTGAAGAACAAAAAAACCAAAGTGCTTGTGCTAAATTAATCTCTATTAACCCTCATGCAGCTCATGGCAGTGAAGTTGATAGACTCAAAGCAAAGGAAAAAGCCCTACAGAGGTAACATCAAGCCTTTGATATTGAAACTCAGATTTAATTCCATTTAATTGGAAATTGTTTTATAAAATGAATCCTTTTTTCCTACAAAACGTGTAATTTTGAAGATGTGTCCTCAGTGAGGCAAACTTACTACAGAACTTTGTGTATGTCATAAGATCTAGAAACTTTCAGAAATTAGAGGCTCACTGATGTAAAGTAGTGTGAAAGTTAGCCAGCTATACAGTTAGAAAGATAATCGACCACCATATATAACCACTTTAACTTCCAACACCCATAGAAAATTTGGGAGCTTCCAAAAACCACTCACAGTTTTGATAATTTGCTAGGTAGGACTCACTTCTCACTGAAAGCCATCATACTCAATGGTTACAGTTTATTACAGGTAAAGGATGTAGGTAAAATCAGTCAAGGAAAGAAAATCAAACGGCAGAGTCCATGAAAGGTACCAAACACAAAAGTTCTGCTATCCTTCCTTGCTCCCCAAATCATGCATAACATTACTTTTACAGTATCAGTGCGTGAAAATATATATGGAATATTGCCACCCAGGGAATCTCACCTGGGCCTTGTTGTCCAGAGTTTTTATTGGAGCTCCATCACATAGTCATGACTGATTGCCCATGTGAATGATCTCAGTCTCCAGCTTCTCAGAGCTCAGCTGAGGCTGTGGGAGCCAAAGCCCCCACCCTAAGTCATACTGCAGGTATGGGATTCAAAACTCCCACTCTATATCACACTGTTAGATTTTCTGGTGTGGTCAGCCCCCACCCTGAATACTACCTGGCCTCCCTATTTCCCACCCTCAGTCACATTGTTAGATAATCAGCATGACCCAGGCAAACAAGGACACTTCTATTATGCATGACATCCAAGAGTTTAGAAATCACCTCCCAGGAGCTGAGGGCAGACCAAATCTCTCTTTTGGCAAGGTTAAATTCCTTACCACTCATGCACTAATTTGTTGTGGTTGTGTGACATTGAGTAGATACCAATTCATAATGACTCTATAGGACAGAATAGAACTGCTCCATATGGTTTCCAAGGCTGTAATCTTTATGAAAACAGACCGCCTCATCTTTCTCCCATGGAGCAGCTGATGAGTTCAAACTGCCAACATTGTGGTTGGCAGCTGAACACTTAAACCACTGTGCCACCAGGGCTCCTTAGTTGAAATTTACCAATCCTAAATTCTCGGGATAATTTGGAAATCCTATATTAGAGAAGTGTGTCCACTAAACAGAGTAGCAACCTACATGCTCAGATTAAATAGATTCACAGATAATAACAGATAAGAATAATAAGATAGCATTTAAGCAGTTACAATTTATACTGTTCTGTTTTAAGCTTCAAATACATTTCAGATTTATGCATCACATATTTTTATTTGGTAGAAAACAGGAGCGACAAATGGCCAAACATTTGACAATACTAGCAGATGATGAGCCTAGTTTCTCTGAAGAAGGTGAGTTTACCAACACTGATTTTTGTACATCTGCTGTAGAATATCAGAAAGCTCAGATGTTTGAGCAAGAGCTACAACGGGTTTATAGATAAATGGGTGTATATATAAATGAAATATATAATTTTTCATTCCTAAATATAATAAAGTCTACATCAACCAAAATAGCTCAGGAAATCTGGTGTTTCAGCCTTCTGGTCTTTGTAGTTCCTGGTCTTCATCTCATTGTTATTATTGATTGAAATAAATTAGCAATATCTATATAGCACTTTAATGAGCTCTGTTGGTACAGTGCCTAAGGCATTTGACTTCTGACCAGAAGGCTAGTGGTTCAAACCGACCAGCCACTACAGGAGGAAGACAGGGCAATCTACTTCCATAAAGATTTACTGCCTAGAAAACCCAGTGGAGGTCGCTATGAGTCAGAATCAACTTGATGGCAGTAGGTTTGGTGTGGGTTTTTATAGAGCACTTTACAGATAGCTAAAGGGCTTTCAGGTTCTTTGTCTTTGTTTTATTACACAAATAGTCAATTTCATTTCCAGGCTTGGGTATGGAAAATCCGGATTACTTTTTTCATGTATTTGTACAGTCAGTTGGTTGGCCATTATAGCTATAGTATAGGGGCACTGATTTTAGAATAAAAAGTTCTAGATTTATGTCCTTGCTCCTCTCCTTAAACACTATCTAATTTTGGGTAAATTGCTTAATCTTTCTGAGTATCAAGCTCCTCCTCTACCAGTAAGAGCTATTGAAAAAATATTTAGGGCAGATATATTTTTGTTTGTTGTTTGTTTGTGACTAAATCCCTAGTACAGATTTCCTTGATATGCAAGCATTTCATACCAAAATGAAAGGCCAGGAAATTCCACTTAATGAAACTCTTCATTTTTCTTTTAACAAATGATGTCCTTATTTTTTAACAAAGAAGATCCTCATTTTAATTTAATGAAGGTCCTCATTTTTATTCTTATTTTAAAGAATAAGTGACTGATGAATCAGTGCATTTTTAATAGAGTTTGAAGTTTAATTTTAGAAGCAAGGTTTTGGAAAATTTAAAACATATATGTTCCTTCATGTGATTATTTTCCCATTAGATTCAAGGCACTTAAAAACGATTTCCTATCAACTATCCGTGGATATTCCAGAAAAGGAGCCAACTGATGAGAGCATATTTGATTTTCAAGTGGAAACTCTTAACTTACCCATTATTTGTTGTGATTCTAGGATAGCGTGTGGAAAGGTAATAAGCTTATAATTTTTCAAACTTGGCTTTTCAATTTTTAGTAGACTTTATAACAGTGTTTTTATAAATGTTTTACGGGAGACAGTTTTGCTTAAAAGGAGCTCTGGTGGTACAGTGGTTATGCACTCAGCTACTATCCAAAAGGTCAGTGGTTCAAACCCACCAGGTGCTACACAATACAAAGATATTGTAGTCTGCTTCTCTAATGATTTACAACAGCCTTGTAAACCTTATGGGCCAGTTCTACTCTGTCTTATAGGGTCTCTGAGTCAGAATCAGTTCAACGGCAATGGTTTTGGGTTTGAATATTTTGCTTAAAAGGAGCCCTGGTGGCACATTGGTTAAGCTCCTGGCTGCTAATTGAAAGGTCACCTGTTCAAACCCATTGCCATTCCTCAGAAAAAAGATGCGGCACTCTGCCTTTGTAAAGATTACAGCCTAGGAAATCTTATGAGGCAGTTCTATTCTGTCTATAAAGTTAGAATCAACTGGCTGACAACAGGTTTTTGAGATTTTGCTTTTTACTTTAAAATGTGATAATTGCACATTATAGAACATTTGGAACATGTAGAAAACTAGAAAGAAGGAGAAGAAATCAGTAATCCCAAGTACTCCCTCAAAAACCATTATAGATATTTGAACTTGTTTAGACCTATACTGCTCAATATGGTAGCAACTATCACATATGGCTGTTTAACTTAAAATTAATATTACATAAAATTTAAAATTCAATTCCTCAGTAACTCTAGTCATTTTTAAAATGCTGTATGGCTGCATGTGACTAGTGGCTACCATACCACACAGTGCAGATATAGAACACTTTTACTGTCACAGAACATTCTATTAGGCAGCACTATTCTAGACTTTTTCTATGCATAATATTTGTTAACATGCTTGTAATTGTATCATATATAATTTTCTCTTTCATTTAGTTGTAGCAAAATATTTTCCATGATATTACATAGTTTATATTAACATCATTTTAATAGCTGTATGTGCTACCACCCATCAGTCAACTTATATTGTTGTGGGTTGCATGTTGCTATGATGCTGAAAGCTGTGCCACCAGTATTTCAAAAACTGGCAGGGTCACTTATGGTGGAAGGATCTTCAGACTAAGACAGACTAGGAAGAAAGGCCTGGTAATCTACTTCCAGAAATTACCCAACTTATAGATCACAACAGAAACTGGTATATAGTATATATGGGTAAAACAAAAAGTGCCTGATAAAACAATAATAATAATGCCTTATTATTGGATTGACACAGGGGTTGCAACAATGGGCTCAAGTATAGCAAGGATCTTGGAGCTGGCGCAGTATCGGGTGGTATTTCGTTCTGCTGTGTATGGGGTCACTATGAGTCGGAAACGACTCGACGGCACCTAACAACAACGACAGTAATGCCTCGTAGGGTTCCAAAAAACAGTACACCCACTCCTCATTTATTGATATAGTTAGGTTCCAAAGAAAAGGTCATTATGCAGAAAGCAGCACTATGTAAAACATCAGCGAGCAAAATGCTTCTTTGGCTCTAGGAGTCATTTTCATGGGACTGCTTCCTCTGCTAAGCCACCATTAACAGCTAGGTCATCTCCACTTCCATACTTCATACTTAGGGCAGGTGGGTTGGCTTATGCCATTTCAAACCACAGGCAAAGCTGATTGGATCAGGATTTGCACCAGGAGAGCACTTGGCCTACTCTCAACACATGTGGAATTCTTCCTCTCCATGGAAATGCCCACCTACCCAGAATGGCCACTCATTGACCCTAGCATCCCCAAGCAAGCAAATGGCAGATCTCAGGGTCTGTAGTGAAGTGACTTCTATACACCCTGTCTGTGCCCCTCTGTCACATTCTTGAAGACTCTCAGCCTAAGTCTCAGCTCTGCTTGGTCAGCATAGCAGCCACCAACCTGTAGGCCTACCAGGAGAAGCTGCTGAGTATTGTTCAGGTCTGGCCTTTCTCTCTCTCTCTCAACTTTATTCACATTCAAGACTGGGGAGAGGAGTGGGATGGCAGGGATTGAGGACTTGGGGCTCAGGAGGAAAGCACTCTCACTCAAAACACATGGGTCCTTACCTGGCTTTAAGGTGATTTGAGTGGATATTTTAATGTTGTCATAAATGGAAATGTCATATAACAAAATAGTTGGTAAGTGAGGAATAGTTGGCTAGATTTAAAATACATGAACAATGGCACATGAATTAGGAAGGGTTACTAAATGGAGTTAATGTTTGGAGTATGAGAATTTTCCAGCACTCAGTTTGCATCAGGAAGGTTCAGTTAGTAGGAAAGGGCATCATGTTTGGTGAAGCAGAGGACCAAAAAGGGTGAGGGAGACCCTCAGTGAGATGGATTGGCACAATAGTCCCAGAGATGGACTCAAACATGCCATTTTATCATGAGGAGGGCACAGCACCAGGCAACATAAGATCACCATGAGTTGAAGTCAGCTTGATCGCAGCTACCTTTTTGCACTTGACTACTAAAAAGGTTAGTGGTTCAAATATACCCAGCAGCACTGCAGAAGAAAGACCTAGTGATCTGCTTCCATTAAGATTCCATCCAAGAAAACCTTGTACTCTTAAAACATGAAGTCACCATGAATCGGAACCAACTCAGGGTAACAAACAACAATAACATCTCTCTATTTTTGGTTTTTTGTATCTAATAGCTATGTGATTTTCCATATGATTTATTTAACCATCCCTCTATTATTGGACATACCAATTTTTTTTCCTATACTAAATAACACTACTTTGAATGTGCTAATTTTTTTTGCTATACTAAATAACACTACTTTGAATATCTTTGTGTATAAAATCTATTTCTATTAGTTCCTCAAAGTAGATCCCCAGAAGTTAAATTACTAAGAGCAGGTTTACCTCTCTTGGGTGCTAGAGAATTTACAAGGTGACAGTGACCACAGATGCATGACAGAAAAAATGCAAATTCTATCTAGAGGAAGATCACTCAGCTAGACCTCAAATTACCTATATTAATTATTCTTCAAGTTCATTTACCAGCACATACTGAAAATTAGCCAGGAACACATGAAAAATCAACACTACGATTGAAAGCCCAGACGAATAATACTCAACAAGAAAAGACATGCAAGAACTCTGGAAATTGAAATAATCTAACTATGTTTATAAATTTAAAAAAAAAACCTTGATAATGCAGGGGGAACAGAAACTATAAAGTGTTGTTGTTGTTGTTGTTGTTGTTACTTGCCATTGAGTCAGACCTGACTCAAAGCAACCCCTCCTTAGGTTTCTGAGGCAGTATCACTATGGAAGCAGATTGCCCAACCTTCCTTCCAAGAAGTGGCTGGTGGGTTTGAATTGCCAGCCTTCTGGTTAGCAGCCAAGTGCCTTAGACACTACACTACCAGAGCTCCTATAAAGTTATACAGCATATTTGAAAAAAAAAAATAATTATAGGAGTGAAAAATACAATGTCTTAGTTATCTAGTGCTGCTGTAACAAAAATATCACAGGTGGAAGGTTTTAACAAACAGAAATTTATGTTCTCGTAATTTAGGAAACTGTTGTTGTTGTTAAGTGCTGTCGAGTCATGTCCAACTCATAGCAACCCTATGCACAGCAGATCAAAACATCATGTGGTCCTGCAGCAGCTCCATGATCCTTGCTATAGTTAGCCCATCGCTGCTACCACCATGTCAGTCCATCTCATTGAGGGCCTTCCCCTCTTTCATCGACCCTCTACTTTACCGAGCATGACATCCTCCTCCAGTGAATGGTCCCTTCTGACATGACCAAAGTATGTGAGATGAAGTCTGGCCATCCTCACTTCCAAGGAGCATTCAGGGTGCACTTCCTCCAGGATAGACCTGTTAGTTCTTTCAGCAGTCCATGGTACTTTCAGCATTCTTCACCAACACGACGGTTCAAAAGCATCAACTCTTCTTTGGTCTTCCTTATTCATTGTCCAGCTCTCACATGCATATAAGGCGATTGAAAATACTGTGGCTTGTGTCAGGCGCACCTTAGTCCTCAAGAAAACATCCTTGCTCTTCAGCACATGGAAGAGGTCCTTTGCAACTGATTGCCCAGTGCCATATGTCATCTGATGTCCTGACTGCTGCTTCCATTGGCATCAATTGTAGAACCAAGCAATGTGAAGTCTTTGACAACTTCAGTCTTTTCTCCATTTATCATAATGCTGCTTATAGGTCTAGTTGTGAGGATTTTTATTTTCTTTATATTGAGATGTAATCCATACTGCAGACTGGATTCGTCAATCTTCATCAGTAAGTGCTTCAAATCATCCTCACTTTCAGCAAGCAAAGTTGTGTCATCACCATATCACAGGTTATTAATGATTCTTCCTCCAATCCTGATGCCATGTTCTTCTTCATATAGTCCAACTTCTTGGATTATTTGCTCAGCATACAGATTGAATAAGTATGGTGAAAGGATACAACCCTGACGCACTCCCTTCTTGATTTTAAACATGCTCCTTGTTCTGTTTGAACGACTGCCTCCTGGTCAAGGTACAGGTTCTTCATGAGTACAATTAAGTGTTCTGGAATTCCCATTCTTCTCAATGTTATCCATGATTTGCTATGATACACACAATTGAATGCTTTTGCATAATCAATAAAACACAAGTGAACTTCTTTCTGCTGTTCTTTGCTTTGAGCCAAGATCCATCTGACATCAGCAATGATATCCCTCATTCCACATCCTCTTCTAAATCCAGCTTACATTTCTAGAAGTTCTCTGTCAATATACTCCTGCAACCATTTTTCAATTATTTTCAGTAAACTCTTACTTGCATGCAATATTAATGGTATTGTTCAATAATTTCCACATTCTGTGGGATCACCTTTCTTTGGAATGGGTACAAATATGGATCTCTTCCAGTCAGTTGGCCAGGTAGCTGTCTTCCAAATCTCTTGGCATAGTTGAGTGAGTGCCTCCAGCGGGGCATCCATTTGTTGAAACATCTCAATGGGTATCCCATCAATTCCTGGA